GTGAGAAGGGGGTAATTCTCAACATGCCACTAGGTCGTAAATGGATCTGGTGTCGGGGTTGCCATGGTAACCATGGTCCTGGGCCTTGTTCGCAGACAACTTGGCCCCAGTATGTTTATTGGGGGGAGGGTTTCTGTGAACGTTTGTTAATCTATTGAATAACTGATTTGTTAAATCAAATGAAAAATTGTGTTTTTGATTGGTCCAGACGCTACACTACACAGACAAAGTGAGGTAGCTGAATTTCCTCCAGTTTGCCGGAGGTTACAGTGATGTCCATCAAAGGTCCACATGGTGTGTATTTCTTCATAATATCTTTACTGAGTGATTTCCAGTCAACAAACCGATACTTCAAACTAACATCACTGTCAGACCGCCAGCGGAGGCCAATCTCTGAACATTCATGCTGCCCTTCAGAGGAGCTGACACTGAAAACACAAATATAACACTGATAAAGATGCTCTCAGAATATGTGATATTATTTATGTAATGTTACAAGTATGTAATATTTCATAAAGATTTATCTCTGTACCTGTACTTGATATTTGCATCAGTTGTGACCTCTGAAGGTATTTTAACTTCCCATTCAGAATCATCCTGAGAGGGAGAAAAATAATTAATCGAATAAAGAAATTAAAAGTAACCGAAATACAGATAAAAGCTTCGTTTCAATAGAATTTTGAAACGTTCTCTGTCAAAAAATCAACAAATATTCTGATTCTTCGTAGGGATGGGCGTATCGATCCTGAAGTAGGCTATATATATACAGTATATATACACATAGATATATACACTGATGCGAATATCATTGCAAATATTTGAAATAAGTAAAAAAAAAAAATGTCAATACTAAGGTGTGTTTTTATTTACCAGCGATTTTGTTTATTTAATGTCAAAATACGTGGTCATATGGTGTGGTCGTCTTCGATGAAAGCTGCCAGTTTCGCGATTCTGCTGGGTCCGGCCCCCTGTTGCCGAGGCACAGCGGCAGCTGTTATCCTGGGGATCGCAAGTGGATTTAGCAGAGGGATCCGAGACGGGCTCGTCCTTATCTCGGTCCTCACCGGCTACATCCACAGCTCCCTCTCAGGTATCGGAAGCCCGCTCCGTGGTTTCTTCCTCCTGGAGAGAAAACCATAAGCTTTATCTGTCTTCCTCCGAGGAAGCTGACGTGATAAGCGTCGACACAGAGGAGACTGTGGACTCGTTACCACAGTCCCTCGCGTATGAGGAGCTTGTGGAGCTTGTGACCCGCGCTGTAGCCAAACTGAACATCGAATGGCCAGCCGAGAAACAGGACGCTCGTCCCAAAAGTAAACTGGACGAGTGTTTCCTGAAAGCCAGATCACAGCCTTCACGACAGGGCCTTCCGTTTTTCCCCGATCTTCATTCTGAGGTTTCAAGATCGTGGGAGAAACCATATTCGTCCCGACTCTTCAGCCCTTCCGTCTCTTATTATTCCAACAATATGGGACTGAATGAGAAAGGATATGGGGCGATGTCGGCAGTGGAGCAGAGGCTCGCGAGCTATCTCTCCCCATCCTCAGCATCGTCCCTGAAGGCCCCGAAGCTTACAGGTGTACCAGGCCGTCCTGCTAAAAGACCTGGATGAGAGGGGAGATGAGGAATCCGACATAGTTGCTAAACTACGTCGGGCCACAGACCTGTCACTTTGGGCCACCAAGGAAACGGCCAGAGCCATCAGCCGCTCCATAGCAGCGCTGGTGGCTACAGAGTGACACCTGTGGTTGAATCTGTCCGATTTACAAGATAAGGACAGATTCTTCCTCCTGGATGCCCTGCTATCACCTTCTGGCCTCTTCGTTGGTGCAGTCGATACTGTCGTTGCGAGGTTTCAGGAGGCGGCATTCCAGCGCTTCCTCCCTCGAAGATCCCAGGTCTGCGGGGCTACTGAGCGGGAGGAGCCCCGGCTGTCTAGCTCCTCATACTGCCAGACCCAGAAGCAGATCGCCGCAACCCACAGAAAGAGCAGGGGTCGGGGCGATGCTCTCGGTCGGGGTCTTCGAAGCAGAAAGCGGATCTGCGGACCGTTATTCTGACTAAGAAGGCCTCGACCGAGCGGCCCTGACGCAACCATCATCAGGGCCCTGAGGGCAGCGCCCCCTAGGGAGGAGAGGTACACACCTCAGTATATGGTGCCCGATCCTCCTCAGTGCCCTCAGGGAGATTCACTGATACCCCTGCCACCCCTGGTGCTTCAGGGCTCAGTGAGCTCCGACGAGCGAATTTCCCAGCTGCTGCCTGTTGACGGTACGACATGGGAAAGCTTGAGGGCACTAGAGCAGTCAGGTTGGTCCACTTCAGGGCACCCAGGTGGCTCCTCTAGTGACACCAGAGGCCAGTCTCGAGAGACTGGTTCCCTTAGTAGACTTTCTGACAGCGTGGAACCTTCTGGCAAATGTCTCACAATGGGTCCTGCAGACTGTAGAAAGAGGTTACAGAATTCAGTTTGGTTCTCGTCCACCTCGCTTCAACGGGGTCATTCCTAAACTAGTGGGCCCTGAGCAGGCTCTGGTATTAGAACAAGAAGTAAATACTCTCTTGAGGAAGGAGGCCATCGAGATGGTCCCTCCTCTCGACAGAGAGTTCGGGTTCTACAGCCGCTACTTCATCGTTCTGAAGAAGGATGGAGGGTTGTGTCCGATCATAGATCTGCATCTATTGAACCATGCTATCAAATGGTTTCGGTTCAAGATGCTCACTATCAAACAGATCGTGTCTCAGATCAGGTCCGAGGACTGGTTTGTCACGATAGATCTCAAGGACGCATACTTTCAAGTATCCATCCTTCCTCAACACAGGAAGTTCCTGAGGTTTGCTTTCGGGGGCAAAGCATACCAGTATTGGTTTCTTCCGTTCGGCCTGTCACTCTCATACCGCACTTTCACCAAGTGTGTGGATGCTGCCTTGGCTCCGTTGCGACTCCAGGGCATCAGCATACTGAACTACATCAACGACTGGTTGATTTTAGCTCAGTCAGAGCAGATGGCGGTTCGGGATCGAGATGTCGTCCTTGCCCATATGAAAGAGCTGGGGTTACGGCTAAACTTTACGGCCAAGAAAAGTGTGCTTTCTCCATTACAGAGGACCACTTATCTTATCTCTCTCCGCGGTGGTGTTTGTCCACTCTTCTTCTGTTCTGATGTCTGACTGATGTTTTGCAGCTGATGCTCAGTAGAGGGAGACTGAGATCATGCACCTACTCAAACACAGAGAAACCTCAGGAATGATTCATAAACAGCTTTCCTGCCCTCAGATTATGATATATATTTATATAAAATTATCTTAAAACACAAAACACTTCCAAAGGTAATTATAGTTAAGACAGTCTATATAAGTAGTCTATGCTGATTTTGAGATGAACCATGAACCTTTGTTGTGTTTGCAGCACCACAGCAGGGCCAGTAAGAACATGAGCAGAAATGTGACACTCAGTGCTGCAATCACTCCAATTATCAGAGCATGAGCTTCTGAAAATTCTAGTCCTGAAGATCCTGATGTTTTAAAATAAAAGGTCAGTAGGTCAAATTATTCAAGTCGGTCAAGTTAGCTACCCTTGTAGCTAATCATCTGCAATTTGATTGTGACATGTTTTAGCCTAAAGTAAACCTATTTATTTATTAAAATAGCTTTTGTTTAAGTTATTTATCTGCAAATTTACTACATATGATATAAAGTAAATAAGTAGCGGAGCATGAATCAATGCACATTACATTAAACATTAAACATGTTGGTTAAAGGGGTCATATGACGTTGCTAAAAAGAACGTTATTTTGTGTATTTGGTGTAATGAAATGTGTTTATGCGGTTTAAGGTTCAAAAAACACATTATTTTCCACATACTGTACATTATTGTTTCTCCTCTATACCCC